AGGAGAAAGATGGCAGGGGCTGTGCACAGCCCCCACGGAGGATGGGAGGAGGGCCCAGGATGCGTGTCAGGGCGGCTGGGACAGGGCACTCAGTGGCCAGTGTAGGTGGCCCCTGCCTTCAGGTCAGCCTGGAGCCCCGGGTCCTTCTTGATGGAGCTAAGCCCTCCTCCCTGTGGCCGGGCCCTCAGGCCGAGCCCACAGCCTCCCTGGGCCAGCTCCAAGGCCCAGGTCTCACTCAGCAGTATGAACTCAGCCAGATACCCCCAGGCATCCAGGGCGCCGCCCCAGGGGCAAGTGGCCAGGAACTGCTTCCTCTTCCAGCGGGGGTGGACACCAGACGGCTGGAAGCCTGCCTGCTGTGCTGGAGAGCAGCTCCTGTTGGCTCAGTGGTCAGGGGGACAGCTGGCCGCAGCTGAGGACTGAGTTTGCAGAACACCCATGCCCAAGCCCCACCCGACACACACCTCCGTCACTCAACCGAGGCGGGGGCAGGAACCACAGCTCGGGGCTGCTGACTCTGGTCCCGGGCCAGCACCGCAGCTGCAGGCACTGTGCGTGTCCTGAGCAGGACCTCAGAAGCTGGTCCACGGAGACCCAGGCCTCAGATCACACGGATCCAGCCCCTCCCCCCAGAGTGTCTGCAGGGCCTTGGGAATCAACACTGCTCGCCCTCAGGGCCAGGGGACGTCTGGGAAGCCTCCGTGGAAGAGGAAGCAGGAGTGGCTGCCACAGAGAGGTGGCCCCAGGAAGCCGGTCTGTCTCCACCCCAGCTCTGAGGGTCCGTAACGTAGAGTCCACACCTGTTGTTTGGTTCTTCCATGGTCTACACGGTCAGGGCACCAAAAATTAATGTAAAAAGTGGTACTGGGCTAGTGATACCCTGGGTGTTTGGCAAAGGCCCTCACAAAACTACTCTGGAGTGATCGTTCCCAGGCTGGGGCCCAGCAGCGACACAACACGCAGCCAACACAGCAGATCAGCAGGACACGACCCCAGCAACTTGGGGGCAAATGGGAAGAAACCAAAAACACAAACGTTTAAAGTTACAACCAAAGGAACCTAAAACAAAACTGCAACGCTATGAAAACCAGGCAGGTGTAGCCAAAGAACCAATCAGAACTTCTATAAACAAAAAATTCAATCACCAAAATTCCAGATAATGGACAGGCTACTCTCAGCTGGAGGTTCAGTGACCTAAACTAATCACCTAAAGGCAGCTCAGAAAACTGATAGGGAAGCACAGGTGAAGTCCGGAGACAGAAGGAAACCGTAAGAAGTTCCCGTCTATGGAAGAGAATTCTGGAAAAAGGAAAGAGGTGTCAGGGGCAAGGTCAGAGCCGATGGCCAGGAATGGTCCCGAACCAACAAAAACACTCTCTCAGATTCAGAAAGCATGAGTTTGAGCAAGAGAAGACAGAACCACTCCTTGACACCAGAGATATTCTGCAGAGAAGGTCACAGAACCATCCAGAAGGGGCAGACAAACAGAGGGGCAACAGTGCATGTGACAGTGACTCTCCCACCCACTGAGGACACCAAGTGACAGCGAAATGCTTTCTCTGAAGTGTGAGAGACACAGCCATCAACCAGAATTCTAGTCGGCCAAGCTACCCCCCCCCACCCAAGAGTGGGGACAAAACAGCCACAGACAACAGCCGTCATCACAGACCACACATTCCCGTTGGATGGAAGCACCATGCACGGGGTCAGAGCTCTTGGGCGCTGTGTCATCAGGGCCACAGAGCAGCTGGTTACGCTTCGATCTGGTCACGTATGCCCGACGCTAAGCAAGGGTCTCACCGCTACAGTGAACAGCACGGCCACCGGCCGAATGTCTGCGTCCCCCCAGAACTCACGCACGGAACCTAGCGGCCAAGGTGACAGTACTGGGAGGTGGGGCCTTCGGGGGGTGATTAGGTCTTGAGGGTGGAGCCCCCGTTAGTGGGATTAGTGTCCTTATGAAAGGACCTCCATCACCCCCCCGTCATGTGAAGACACACCAAGAACCAGGAAGTGGGCCGTCGTGGCCTCCAGAACAGTGAGAAGTGTGTTTCTGTTGTTGATAAGCCACGTGTCTATGGTATCTCGTCACAGCGACCCAGGCGACTGACACAGTGACACAGCAACAGAAAGAAAACGTGTAACTTCCAAATCAAAGGAAAGCAGGAGAGTGAGTGAGGGGTTCTGAACAGAGCCAGGCGGGTAGTGGTGGTGGTGACGGAGATGGGGGAGAGGGTGCAGGGGGCTTGGAGATAGTGGTGATGGT